GGGGCGGGAGGGGCCGGGGCGGGGGGTGACGGGGCGGGGCGGGGCCACGTCAAATACGGCCGTTGATCGTAGATAGGACGAGAGATCCTAGATGGGCAACAGAGGCGGACAGGAGGAGGGCTTCGCATGTGCGAGGAGGAAGGAGAGTGTGGTGGTAAGGATAGGGCAGGAAAGCGAAGTGGAGCGCGCGCGTGTGTGTGTCTGTGTGATTGTGGTGGTTGTGATGGTTGTGATGAGGGCTGATGATGCATAGAGCCGTTACAGATGGAGGGATTGGACTGACCCACGAATCGGGGACTGTGGGATGGCGATGGTAATGATGGGAATCGGCGTTGCGCTGCCCCTGCAGAGTAGCGACTGTGTGGCGCAGTGCATCAGGAGGCGGCTTCCCTCACCCCCCCAATCACTACCTGCCTAGCCCAACACCTCCGCTGCTACCCCGTCCCGTCCCCTCCGCCGCCCCTTTCCCTGCCCTGCTGCCGAACACACCCGGACCCACAACAGCCGCCACCCACCCGTTGCAGCGTCAGTGTGAAGGTGAATAAGCTGTACACGATGTGGACCAGCGCCACGAAGAACAGCAGGTAATGGGCGGTGGTGATGCTGTCGGCGGGGAAGAGGTGCCGCTTGCCGGGAGGGCAGGGGTCAGCGGAGCCGCCAGAAAGGATGCGCCGGGCAGCCTGCGACGACCTGGCTTCGGAGGCGAAGTCGTCGTCCTTCCCCGTGAACAGAAGCAGGTGTCGTCCAGGGTTGCCGCCAGCTGCGCCGAGGTGTGGAGGTAGAGCAGGCGAGGGCGGCGTCGATGATAGCGGGTGGGAAGACGTGTCGTGGCCGACAGGTACGCAAATGCTGGCGATGTACGGCTGGTGCCGGCAAGGGTAGTGGAGGCCAGGGCAGGGTAGAGACGTCGGTACGTTTTAAGGGTGCGGGGAAAGGGAACCAGGGGTGACGTTTAAAGCACTTGGAATTACAGATGCCCAAAGGGGCCGTCAATGGGATACTGTATGCACGGCGGCAGGAAAAAACAATGGAATGATAATGCTCCAGAAATATGTAGTGTAGATAGAATACTTAACTTTTGCCAGGGCGTGGGATGTAGGCGATTACGCACGTAGGAGCAGCTCAGCACGTGTTGTTTCCGGCGCTTACCTGGGCAAATACCAGAACCAACGAAATGACGCCCACGTCCAAAACCTCTTCTTTTAGACGGGTCAGCCATATTTTCTTTGCATCCCCATAAAAGCTGTTGAGGAATGTTATAATCGCGACAAAGACCTGCCAGGAGATGCTGATGCACATGAAGAGGGCGAAGAGGACCGAAATTTCCCAGCCATAAAGATTTGCTGCTCCATCTGCCATGTTGCTTTGCTCAAAGAAACTGTGCTTTCGATTGAGCTATGGCGAATGGCTTAACGTCGCCGTCGTGAAGAGGGGCGGAGGGGACGGAGTATTTTAAAGGAAGAAGACTATGTAAACATGCAAATCGGAGTCCCCATTGACGGATGGCTGCAGTCCCCTCGCGGGAGTTTGTTTGCCACGAAGGGGAAACTCCAAACAGCGGCCGCAGACAACTGTCATACATAATATTCAACTGCACCGATCATGAAACCTTTCCAAATAGCTGATCTAGCAAAAAAGTTTGAAATCTACCCCTTGACTCCGATTGCAAGCGATGAAAGGTAGGCCAAACCGTAAACTGACACTACAAGCCGTACGCATACACTGCGCTTTCATTCCAGCAGCCTGTGCCGTGAGAGCTGACGCTATCTTTATATACGGACTTAATTCAACTCAATCCCAAGACGAATTACCTAAGTTTGCCCTATCCATGATAACCTGGTCGCTGGAAGAGTGCAAGCGTCAATCATTAGAAGACGAAATTTTGCCCGCTTAAATAGTGAAGATATGCACATATGAGACTTACGTTTTAGGCTTCCTGTTCAATTCTGTAGATTGCCATTGACTGGACTTACTCAAGCTACAGTAACCAGAACCCAGAATTGTTGCGTTAACTTACACGCCGTCGGGGCGCAAGAGCTCCCATGGCGGATCGGAATGAAGAGCATGCAGGCGTGCCTCCGGCCGCTGCTCCAGACAACTCCGCCGTCGTGACACCCAGCGCTGCAGCCGTCGCTTCCGCGGCCGGGACGGAGGGCCTCTTCCGCCCAAAGAAAGGCGGCGCCAACTTTCGCAAACGCGGCGCAGCCGGCACCAGCGCTGCCACTGGCACCGCTGGCCCCACCTTGGCTCCTGACGCCGACGACGGCGAGGGCGATGAGGGTGGCGTAGTGCGCAAGGCCAAGCAGCTACGCACCGGAGCTGGCGGCGACACCAAACTACAATTCACCACGGCCAAGGACGACAAACCGGAGCTGATGGTGCAGTACGCTGGCAGTAAGGCCCTGCAGGACACAAAGGACGCGCTCGCATCCCGTATCCTCGAGACCGAAACCGAATACGACCGAGACGCGCGCGCACAGCGCGAAAAGGTGCTCAAACAAGCCACCGAGGGCGTGGCTGATGACGGCACGTACAAAGGCATGAATTCCTACATCGACTACCGAAAAGGCTTCCGCAGGGAACATACCGTGGCGGCCGAGAAAGGCACCGGCGCACACGGGCCGCTGCGCGGCAACGCATATGTACGCGTGTCGGCACGCTTCGACTACCAGCCCGACGTGTGCAAGGACTACAAGGAGACGGGTTATTGCTCCTACGGCGACACCTGCAAGTTCATGCACGACCGAGGCGATTACAAGAGCGGCTGGGAGCTGGATCGGATGTGGGAGGAGGAGCAGAAGCGGAAGGCCGAGGCGCTGGCTAAGGGCTGGAATCCCGACGCGGACGGCGAGGACGACGCCGATGCAGACGCGGAGGCAGCAGCAGCGGCACGAGATGAGGAGCTGCCGTTTGCGTGCTTTGTGTGTCGCGAGCCTTGGGAGTCGTGCAAAGGGCCACCGGTGGTGACGCGCTGTCGGCACTACTTTTGCGAGAAATGCGCGCTCAAGCAGAGCGCCAAGTCCACCAAGTGCGCGGTGTGCGGGCAGTCCACGCAGGGCATCTTCAACATCGCACACGATATCCTAAAGCGCCAGAAACGCCAGGAGGAGGGTCGGAGGGCGCAGCGGTAAAAACGATTCAATGCATGGACGTGTGGACGATCAGGCGGGCCTGGTGTGAAGCCTGTTTGCCTGTCTGTCTGTCTGTCTATCTGTCCGCCTCACCGAGGTGGATGGCGAAACGGGGCACCCTCACCCACCAGGTCGAGGCATTGCATGGAGGGTTAGGGAGGATTCCGGCCTCAAGGTTACGATCCGGATGGGGGACAGGCGAAGTCCAGCACGGCCTGGGGCCCCAGGCTGGAGGGGGGCCCACAAGCCGTGGATGATACACAGGCCACGTGCCGCGCGCTGCTGGAGGGTTGGCCGTCTAGCGAAGCCTGTTTTGAATCAGCTAGTCGATAAACCGGGTTTGGCCCGCGCGGACTGGTGCTCCGGCAGGCTGCGGCGTCACTGGGGTACGGCGGGTAGGTGTATGGGCGTGTTATGTATGCGTGACAAGCACAGCTGCTTGCAGTTGCGTCCTAGGAGTGGTGTTGTTGATTGGACTGGCATTGCCTGGTGTACTGCATGAAGCAGCACACGTTCAGCTAAGACGAGCTGATGAAGCCGGGTGCCGTTTCCGCATGCGAATCCTGGTCTGCGCACGTCTGCGTTGTGTTAGCGCCAGGTACGGCCAGGTAGTAGTATGCTGTGTCATATACATTTGGATTGCTTGAGATCTGGGTTGTGCGATGATTCTCGGCTGTTCTGTCCGGCTGATTGGTTGTGCGCTTGGGTGCGGACTTGGTTAGTTGCAGGAGGAGAAGCAAAATACGGTAGGGGCTGTGGTAGGAGCATCATCACATATAAATACAGGCGCCAGCCTTGCTGGGACCCACCCGTATTTGCCAGCACCGGTCATAAGCTCCTGACCTAGGGAGCGGACCCAGCCATTTCGCTCCGGGTATGCACCTGGTGCCGTGCTGTTCTCCTTGTGCCTCTGCAGGCTGTGCCTGTGGGGTGTAAACCCTACTAGTACTGCTTGTTCCGATGTAAGGATGGCACGGGGTTTCTGGGCATAGCTGGCGACGCACCTCAGGCTTTCCCTCCATCGGTTAACGGTTGCGGTTAAGCTATCCAGCTGTGTTCCAGCTGCGGTTGAATTCGCTATACTGGTGCGACATGGAACGGCAACTGTAACTCCTCTTAGGTGCAGTCCATTACATTCGACACAATGTGCTGCTGCTGCCAGATGATACAAAAACAAAGAATTCGACATCAGGAGCGGGCGGCGGCGCAATAGCTGCCGCGCGAGGTGTCAAATGCTTGCTTGTGATGCAGGATGCTGCGCCCTGCACCAGCGGACAAGCGCATGGTGCGACTGACATCTTGGCATCGTGCGAGCCAAACCTTCCCTGCAAAAGATAGCAACGCTGGGATGTCCTACCGTTCAACAATTTACCCTACCCTGGTAGTGGAGCTGCAGCCAACCTCTGAAACGGACAGTTATGGGGCTGCTGCGCCTCCAGGTCTAATACACCACACGCGTGAAATCCAAGAGGTGTGCTTCATCTGTGCACAGCACACTTGTGAATATGCGCATGGCGCGTCAAACGCCAACAACATAAACGAGCGTGGGAATGGTGCGTTGGAGCGCAAAATGGGGAATGACAACGGCGGCTGTGGTCATCCTACAGCGCCGTCCCTAAGCCAATAATTGCTTGACACATTAATCGTCGCAACCACAGCGACACGCCTGCATTGCAGGCTCGGTATAAACCACCCACCCAAAAAAACACAACAAGATTGTGACAGCCTGGAAATACAATCAAGACGGCAGGCAATGTGTAAAGAAGCCACGCAATAAGCCACCAATAACTCGTGGGACACAGTTTTCAAACAACAAAGGTTGGTTCAAGGCCCACGCGAGTGCCGCCCTTATACAAAATAGTGCACAGATTGTGCATGCATGACATGTGCATATTCATGCATCTCCATCGACGAATGCCTAAAAATGCCCTAAAAATGGGGATTGGATTCGTCAACTGAAATGCCACTGCGACCAACAAGTCACCAAACACTATACGAAACCCGCCCTTCGAGAAGGCGCACAAAGGCAATGCTCATGGCAATCCGCCAGCCGGCCCGGGGAGCCATCAGCCTCTTAAAGGTCTCCCAACTTACAGCGCATAATATCAGGGACGGAAAAAGCCCAAGAGCAAAAAGTTACCTGTGCACACACCCCGACTGCCCCTAATCTATACCTATCTACCTTTTGTTGCTTGCTACTGTATCCTTCCCTTTCCTCCCCCCCTTCCAATTCTAGGAGGCCGTGTGTTGGGGTTCATGGACCTGCTGACACTCCAGCTGCTCGTGCTGCTGCTGCGTTTAAAACTTTCGATTTCACGGGGCCTTCAAAAGGCCATGTACCCACATACACATTATCTTTCCCTTCGTGTCATTGGAACACTGGCGTCTTGCACATGGGACACGTGGCGTAAAGGCCCTGCTGCCGCAGCCACGGCGTCACGCACGCAGCATGGAACTGATGCAGACAGGGCAAGGTCATGACAGTGCTTCCCTCTGCAACAGCGTCCAAGCATACGGGGCAAGTCAGGCCGGGCGGCCCCGCAGCCGCGCATCCGTCAGTACTGCCAGTGGACCCCGCCCTGGCAGCTCCCGCTGGCGATGATGGCAACGAGGACGACGACGACGAGGAGGAGGAGGAGGGTGTCCTTCCGCAGCCGCGCCCTGGCATCCCTCCCGCCATCGCAGCTGCAGGCGTGCCGCCGTTGCCTGGCGCCGGCGCCTGCTGAGAAGTAGAGGCTGCGAACACAGCCGTTGCCTTGGAGCCTCGGGCGCTGCTCCCTTCATCACCCTCACACTTGCCGCCGGCGGCTGCTGGTCCCCCTGCTTGTGCCGAAGTGGATCCCTCGCAAGCGGCTGTGGCGCCACGAGGGGGCTTGTAGGTGAAGCACGGAAGCGCAGCAATGTCAGCTTCGGATAAGGGCGGGCGCGCGGGCCCAGCACCCGTCGCCGCTGCCGAGAATGGACTATGCGCTGCGAGCGGGGAATCAAAACCTGGATAGCGGCGGCGGCGGCGGCGGCAGCGGCGGGTTTCGTAAGGCACACACAGAAGAGGAAGTGTCGGTGCATCGATAAGCGATAAAAAGTGAGCATGTAGGGGGTGATTTCCAATAAATTTAACATGTGTGCTGACGTGACGGTGCGCTGTGTCCGAAAATTTCGGGGCAAACAGCAGCAACAGCGACATGTAGCATGACGGCGGACATGGAATCTCCCACGCCTCGATAAATACCCGGCCGTTTTAAGGACCGATCCCCCCCAGCAAGGAGAAGAGGGCATCTTGGTTTGCCCATTTATTTTACATCCATAAAGACGTGGGTAGCTCCGTGGCTAGGTAAACCCATCATCTGCGCCATTGCACGCGTCAGAAGCACCCAAGTCCGTGTGCTACAACCCCCGGCGGGAGTGCCGCCGAACAACGCACCCGCGTAGCCCATTTCTTCATCCAATTGTCGTAGGTGGATGTTGATCCGCTCCATGGCAGTCTGCGGCGTGGTGTGGAGCAGCAGTAGCCCACCTCCCGGTATCACTCGAACCAAGGGAAGTCCCGAGCCGCCCCCTTGGAGGCGGCCGGTGCCTCGGCGCCCAAAATCATCCTACACATATCGGATTTCCAAACGCCCATACGGTATAGACAAAAACCCATACAAGTCACAGCAGATCCGCGTGTTGGGTGGGGAGAAGAGGATAAGGTTGGGTGAGGTTCCATTCACTGGGCACGGTTCCATCGACATGCGCCCGTCTGCACGAGACAAATTGCCATACGTAACTGGATTACGTTCTTTCGAGGAATGTTTCAAGTAATGTTTCGATAAACAGAGAATATGGGGGGCCAAGATTGCTGGATAGGTCTTCTCGCACAGCGCACTGTGGCCTTCCCCAGTTTGCCCTTCAGGCTGGCCCACCTGCTCAAGCGCCTGATGTAGGTGCTGCGCTTGTAACCGCAGTCGCATAAATATAAGTACAACTACTATAATACATGTCCAGAGCTGCAACAGGCACAAACGATACGGCGGTTACAGAACGGCAAGTTAATATCGCGCACAATGCCAGACCAAAGCAAAGGCAGCCAAATAAGCTTCACAGTGACTCACAACAAAAGTTGCTGGGAGCACTCCCAGCACCAGCAAGGCGAGGCAGAAAACTGAAGAAGGAGAAGGAGCTAGATTTCAGTTGACAAATTGCATCCAAAATGCCATAGCAGTTCAAATGCGTGCGTCTTACGGAGTATTGCGCGGCCAAATGATGACGCGGCCGAGGTATTGGAAGAAACTTGCGAGGCGCCACTGTCAAGCCTTCGCTGGCCATGATTTCGCCGATTAGGAACGTGGGAGTCCGAAATCCCCTGTTCAGGATCCATAAGTGCGGGACGTGCTGTAGCGAAACCACGAAGCATTAGGGAAACATGGTGTACTTGTAAGGCTCCTATCGCGCTTTAGTTCGTCTCAATGATAGCAGCCGGTGCTTTGAGGATAATCGTCATAAAACAATTATGCCGGTTGACACGTGTGCCGACTCTCGCTGGAATTACGCCACATCCCGTACAATTTTGGCGCTGCTTACAGGCTGGGGATGCTTGCCTTGAGTTCACCTTTATCATAGTTTACGGGGCTACATGCTGTTGATACATGTTACAGTTGGGTTTTGGAACACATACGATGCGGATTTGCTCGTAACGCCGGTCATCGGAAACGAGTTTGCCCAAGGCCATACATAATTTCTCATCGTTGGGTTGGATAATAGGGGATGTTTCCACTAAGGATCAATCCGTGACGTTAATCCTCAGTGGAAACATCCCCATTGTATGGCACAAAATAATCTCCATGGGTGCTTAGGACGTGTTTCAAAGTGACACTATGCATGTAGCGGCGCGAGGGCATGCTATAACGATCCATGCGCTCGCGCTCTATGGCATATGGGTAGATTGTATCTCTTAACAGTTAATTTTCTAATAGGTTGAGAGGACGTGACGAGGGCCTGCACGCCTGGGGTACTACGTGCGGACTCTTGCGCCAAACCAGGCTTATTGGTTACTTAGTTGTACAATACGTACAGAAATAAGCCAAACGGTAAGTTTCGGGTAATTGTACGGAAAATGAACGGCCATCGACCGAAGCCGTATAGGGGATGTCCACCGTTCAGAATGCTGCTGGAGTTTGGCATTTAAATATTTTGGGAAGATTGATGAGCGCCTTGCATGTTTCATTTCCTTTGTCCGCTCGCCGACAGTTTGTTTTTGCGGGTAACTATTGCGCCCTTACTAGCGCTTTACTTAGGAAATTGCTTAAGCGGTATGAGGGCTCGTAAGACACTCATTAGGCTGTAACCCGGTGCAGTGTAAGCACCTCTTTGGTTGAGCCACAGCATGGAGCCTGAATTGACGCACTATCAGGTCTTGGGTATTCATCCAAGCGCTACGCTTGAACAGATCAAGCAAGCATACCATGCAGCTGTTCTAAAGTACCACCCCGACAAGGCCGTCAGTGGTACAGTATTACCCACGACCGTCCCAGATGTTCGGCAGTCAGGCGCCAACACGGATGCTTTCCAGCTAGTCAAGCAAGCTTGGGAGGTATGATAGACAGCGAACAGGTAGCGATGGGGTTTACTAAATGGGCCGGCACCTTTCTTCTCTTTTACCTTGCCCCGGTCGTGCCACTTGAGCAGCACCCCTTGAGCCTGACGATGACCCAGGGGGCAATAGAAGCGACTATGCCGCACGGGGGTTATTTTACCAAGTCCCCGGTCCCGTGCTTTCAATCTCACAACACTAAGCACCGCTCCATGCCGCTTCATGGCTCCATTCGGTCTCACAATGGGGGGGGGTGAACTCAGCTGCGGCCAAGCTGCGGCCAAGCCGGGCCAAGATTACTGTGGGGCGGTGTGGAAAATTATCTCGGCGCCTCTGCGTGCATTGACTTCAGCCATGGGGCGGAGTAGAGCAAATGCCTGGCTGCGAATGGATGTGTGTTTCCTGATTCGCCGCTGAGTGGTCCTATCGGCCTTCATCTCCATCTGGGTCACAACTTTTTACCCTTCAGTTCATTTCCCTCCTCACCTCACCACACCTGGTGTCTTCTGCTGTCCCTCGTAACCACATGCTAGGTCCTCCGGGACGCAGGCCAAAGAGCTGCGTATGACGGTCTGCTGAGCTTAAAGGAGATGCAGAGTGCAATTGCATACCAAGACGAGCTAGACCTCCTGGATATGGATGTAGAGGACAGGCATGAGGGTGGGTAATGGTACAATTTGGTGGGGAAACACGCAGCGTAAGAGTCGCGAGTCATCATCGTAACGTACACATCCACTCTTTGCTATTGCACGTTGTCCAAGCCCCAACCGCCCCCCTCCCCCGCTCTCGCGTTTGGTTTGGCTGGGCATCGAAACGTAGCTCAATCATATGCCATGAACCGCCGCGGCCCAACCCCCGATCTTACAGGAGTAAGGTTATTCACGCATCCTTGCCGCTGTGGCGATGTGTACGCGCTGTCTGAGACAGAGTTGGCAGGCCGCGACAGCCTGGTTGTCCCGTGCAGGTGCGCGCCCATGGCCATACCCCACCACCCACCCACCCGTCACAAGTGCTACAGGGAAAACCAGTCCTGCACCACGCATACGCAAGTGCGGCGGCACGCACAGACATAACCTTTGACTAGTAGAGCAGCAGCCATGTCCGATGGCAACATCGAGACGATACATACGAAACCCACATTACTTGTCCTTTCATTTGCCTACAGGACCTGCTCAAATCACGTACTCGTGCGGGCATCCGGCACATGAACCAACTAAGCTCTCGTAGCAGTGCGGAGGTTGTGCCAAGTGCCAAGGCAAGGTCGCAGCAAGTGCTCCCAGACTAGCCTTGAGTACACCTGCAAGGTGATTGGCCAAATGAATACTTTATGGCTCCCGACCTAATGTGTTCATATTGCACGCAATCTTCCGCACCCACTGTAAGGGCCAGCAGCCCATCGGGGGCCTGCCAGGGCTGCATCAGCCCATCGTCCACCGTTGCAAGGACTAACATGTCACCCTTGATGGAAAATGGCCACCCAGCTGCCCAAAATTGGGGGCCTAACAAGGAAATCCCAACGATATTGCGCTTGTCAATTAACGTCCTTGGCCTGAAAGCCAACATAACATCTCTACGCAAGCCTTTGGAGGTAAAATAAGAAAAACTCCGCAATCATGGAATGAAAGCCTCGGGAGGAGGGGGCTGAAGCTGCCCGCCACGGGAGTCCAGCAGCCAGACCAGTGCTAGGTAGCCGATGCCCAAGATAGCGGAGATGGCGCCGGTGACGATGGCTGTGCCCTGTCCCTTCTGCAGGATAGGCGCGCTGGCCTCCACCTTCTTAACATCAATGGATGGCGCAGGTGTCGATGGCGCAGAAGCGGCAGGCTTGGATTCGCCAGGCGCCTCAGTGGAAGACTGCTCCGCCCGGCAGCGGAGGCTGCGACGTGCAAAGCCACACGCCGCTAGTGGGCGCCTGGTCACATATGGCGTCGACAGGATAGCATGGCGTTGGAGAAGCATTGTGTTTCGGGCTTGTAAGTCAACAAGGCCGTATGTGGTTCAGAGCAAACTAGATAACCAGACAGCTAGTCTCTTGATGCCAATCCCAATCGTTTCAATTGAATTCATATATGATTAATGGAAAGGTCAAGTTATGCAGAATGGTGTTGTGGATCCTGTCGCTTGGACATACCGTTTGCTTTCGTACAACCAACCCTTCTACCTTACTTTACGTCACAAAGCGTTCTTGACATTATGGTAGATTTGTGGCAACTTTTGCATGCTTACACTGCCAAACTGTTCTCACTTCATTTGTGGAATGGCTGTGAAATGCCGGCTCGCTTGCCAATGAACAAAGTTACCACATAGGTTCAAAATACTGTGTCCCGTTAATAGGACATCCATCCAAGCGGTGGAGGAGCTTTCGCCATGCTGTGTGGGGTCACCACTGTGACAGCGGAACCTTCTGCTCGCAGTTATGCATCGCAAGTGAGTGGACTTTCTGACATGTTCTACGCTTTGAAAACATTTTGATATATAAGGACTGTTCCTTGTGCTTCAATTTCCAAAACCAAGGACTCGCAGTGAAACCTCGGGCACCCCTGGGAGTCTGGAGTGCGGTCTCCTGCTTCAGGTGCGCACCATGGCGCAACTTTCTTTCTGTCCACATCAAAAGATGTTCCACCTGGCGCATTCTCGCAGGGCGGCTGCATCATGGAGGACGGGCCCAGCATGACAAGCATTCCGCCATTTGTGCGCACCGTGACAACGGCTTGTTGCGGCATGGACACTGACATTCCGACATCCGTGGACTGTACGCGCGGGCCTGACCTCCGAAGCCGGCTGTCCGACGGTCTGGGTATTGGTCCGGCTTATTTCGGCAAGGCGCCGCCGAGATCAACCTGGCAAAACACTGGAACGATTTCTGGCCACTCCCTCGCAACCCTACCAACGCAAACTCCCACGGCCAGCGGGCCCCCCCATAATTCAACCCCCTCCGCCGTGATAGCCAGCTGGTCACCCACTTCCATCGACCACCTCGCCAACACCTCCGGCTGGTCGCCCTTCACCACCCCGGGCGGCATTCTTGCCGACGCTGGACGCGCCATCGCCGCCACAGGTCCTAGCACCGTCTCCACCTCCGCCACCGCCGCCGTCACAGCTGACCCACTCCCCGACCGCCACAGCGGTCAGGCCTCCTTCTTTTGCAGTGGCCGCCCAGTGACCGCCCTCCGCGCCCAGAGCCAAAGCTATGGTGGAGACGTTCCCCTGGTTCCCGACGACATCACCGCTCCTGGGCCGTCGTCAGCACCACCGCCGGTCGGGCCCCGGGGCAACCAGGGCCTGACGAGCGACAACGTGGAACTTGGAGCTCACAACGAAACCGCACAGCCGCTCCAGCCGCCGCCGCCGCTGCCGCCGCCGCCAGCGCGAGGAGCTTCTGCACGCCGGCGGCACCAGCGGCATTACTCCATGGACTGTACGGCAGCGACCACCGCAACCTCCGCGGGCTCCTTGGGTTTGCCAGGATCCGATCTGGGCGCCGTCGTCTTGCTGAAGCGCCCCTCGGACCATCCCGACCGGGCATCTGAAGGCGGCGGCAGGACGGCGTCGCGTAGCCGCGCCGGCAGCCATGGCGCGGAGTACTCGGTCGTCTCTGCGGCGGTTGCGGTAGACGACGGCCGCAGCTTTGCAGCTGCGCAGTCGGAAAGTCTGCGGCAGCAGCAGCTGCTGCAGTTGGATTCGGAGCCGCGAGTACCTGAGCAGGGCCCGCGGGATCAGCCGCCAGGACCGGGGGCGGGGGCTGCGGTCGCGTGTGCAGGGCTGGGCGGCGGCGCTGTTGGGGGTGCAGGTGCGGGTGCAGGTGCGGGGTCTGGGTCTTCTAAGGCGCGAGAGAGGCAACGCGGCAGCAACGGCAGGTCGACTCGTGAGCTGGCGCTGTTGGACCCCAAAAAGGCGCAACGCGTACTGGCTAATCGGCTGGTACGTGGTGGTGGTGGTGCGCGTGTGTGTGTGCGTGTGTGTGTGTGTGTGTGTTGACGTGTAGGGGGTGGAAGTGCCAAGAGGTGATCTGGGGGGTGGAGAAGGTTGGGGAGGTGAAGCAAGGTGAAGTGAGCTGTACATGGCTGCCCACTCTTACGTCCCGTCTCTCCCGTCTCGCGCGCCGTGCTATCTAGCTCCATTGTTTTTAAATGGCGCCCTTGCTCCTCATCTAATGGCTGCTGCCTGGTGGCCTGGCTGGCGGCATGTTGAAGCTCAACGCTGAAACCTCCTTAAAAATGTTTAAACTCTGAAACCTGCAGAGCGCGGCCAAGTCCAAGGAGCGCAAACAGCAGTACGCCGAACAGCTGCGACAGACTCTGAGCGATAGCGCAGCGGAACAGGAAGCCCTTATACGGCAACTGGAGCGGCTGCAAGCCGATGGTACGACGCTGGAGAGCTTTCTCCGTGAGGCACGCCGCGAGGCGCAGCAGCTTGAGGAGCAGCTGGCGGCTGTGCGGCAGCAGAACGAGGCGCTGCGGCAGCAGCTCCTCGCTACCGCGGCGACGGAGAGGGGTCATCATGTGGCGGCGGAGGCCGAGGCGGCGGAGGCAGACCTGCCGAGGGAGTTGATTGCGCTGCTGCAGGAGCCGCTTCTTCCGGAGGATGAGGCGGTACTGGAAGTGGCTGGCAGGGCACCGGGATTGCTACAACTAGAGTTGCAGCAGCAGCCACAGCCGCAGCATTTGTTGCGTCCAGGAGCACCGGCGGCGGCCCCAACCAGCGGCAGCGGCGGCGGGCCAACTTGCACCCCCTCGATGATGATCCCGTGTATGGCCGCGTTGGGCGTGGCGGGAGGCGGCATTGACGGAGGTGCGCCGCAGCAGTTCCCCGGGGACGGTTCCGCCGCTGGTGCCGCTACCGCCACCGCCACGGCGGCAGTGGCGGCGGTGCCGCGGTCCTACAGCGGCGGCGGTCTGGGGGTGGGCTTTGGTGACGACCTCGGGCTGCAGGTCGCAGAGCCGGGCCTCCTGGGTCTGGGCCCCATGGTGGGGCCAGGCGGCGGCGGCGGCGAAAATTGCACTTACAGTCTCAGCATGCCGGAACCAATGGATGTCGCATTGCACCGAGCTGAAGCGGAGGCGCTGGCGGAGGCGGAGGCGACGGCAGAGGCAGCGGAGGCCAAGGCGGCCAAGGGGGCAGTTGCATGCCACCTGGGTTCTGATCTGGCTACCGCCGGGGACCTGTCTTGCATGACGGCGGATAGCACCGGCACCGGCGCTGCTGCCACCGGTGGATGCGATGTGGATGTGGAAATGGTGATGATGGGACAGAGTCTGGAGAAGGGCGTTGTGGGGCTGGCCATAGCGCCTGCGGGCGGCGAGGTCGAGGGGCTTATGTCCGTACGCGCCAACGGCGGCCGTGATGGTGACATGCCGGGCTTCCTGGCGCTTGGCGAAAGCCGAGTTCTCAGCACTGGCGGTGGAGCGCTACTGCCGGGCTATGGCCATGGCCATGGCGGCAGTGAAGGAGGCGGCGGGCTGTTGACGGGGCCCGCCCTGCCGCAGGGACAGCTGCCATTTCTCAGCCGCCAGATCACCACTGCGCTACGGCCAACTGCACCTCCAGACGCACATCGTCAGTAAGGAACGAGGCCCAGGTGGTGGTGTGGCGGAGGCTCTTCTGTAGGGCTTTGTTCTAGTGGTGAGTGATGTTGGGTGATGGTGGGTGAGCCGTTTGGACAGCAGTCGAAGGGGTTGCACGGGAAACAGCGGCGGAAGCGCGACTGAGTGGCGAAGGTGACCTGCGCATGCATCGCCGCGGCTGTAGCTGCGGCCCAGTCTGCTAGTGTGGGTTTGCCGGTGGGGGGTTAGGGAGGGGAAAAGCATTGCAAGGTAGTTATTGCCGATGGGAGCGCTTATCGATTGGAGAGGGTGTGCCTGACGATTATATTTCAGCGCAAACTTTCCTTGAGTGTTTTAGGTGTTGTGGGGGGAAACGTACGAGGTTCTGGATGGAGACGTATCCTTTAAGGGGGAACAGAGTTGGGCGAGTTAAGAAATTAGACAGTTAGTTGGGTTCATAAGCTTTCCAGCCCGTGTGCTGCCGGTCTTACTTTTGGGATGCCGTGGCCGTAACAGTTTTCAGCAATGCCAGTCAAAAAACGATCCCACGGCTTTATGAGCGCGTGACCACCACAACCACCGCTACACCACCACCATGACAACAACAACAACAACAACCATGGCGACGATTGCTAGCGCCGATGTGCGTTGGCCATTTGGTCTCACAGGTGTGTGAGGCCCTGGACAGGAGGACGTTCTGTTGCGGTGACGTTCAAATAAATGAGCCTTTCAACCAGTCTGGCACTTTTGACAGCCGCTGCTGAAGCTGACGACACATACTTGCTTTTTATGCTTATTCTTCCGGTTAGCTTGTCTTGTTCCCGAATACTAGGAGTACTAATATCCCCTTGAAGCCGTTTTGATGAAGAAATTTTGCGGACCATTGGAGTTGCCGCCTGAGGGTGCTGCTGCGGTTTATTAGTCACGATGATAATGCGGCAGAAGAAGCAGTAGTTGACTTCGTCGCTGTCATTTTGCTGTGTGTGTGTGTGTTGTCGCCCGTTGCAGTTGCTGTGCATGGTACGGCACGAATATACGTGATTAAGTACGCGCATTGCCATGTGGAGTCCTCCGCAACAATATACAGCTCTGCATCTGGCAGCTTTGCGCCAGACTGCTGGTGCAGTATCTTGCTGTCGCCCGTTGATTTCCCACGCAGTGGAGTTTCAACCGAAGAGGAGGTTCGCCTCCGGGGCCTCCGGGGTGCGGTGCAGTGAGGGAACCGTAACCTCGTCCTCGCTCCGCATGCACGACATGGCAACACGAATGTTGAGGGGTGTAGGAAAGCTTGCATGTTGTATGTTGTTCGGCTGTTGCCGCGGCCCCCGAAGCTTGAACACACGGGTGCTGTGGCTTTGGCTTTTTCCTTCTGCTGCGTCTGCGGGTCCGGACTCTGGGGTTGCACAGCAGTTTTGCAACAGTTAAGGATGGTAGATGTAGCCGACCCCAGGCGAGTCGGGTGGTGGTGGCCAACAGGTGATATTGGGGCGCGTGTGGCAGCAGGATATATGTTTAGAATTCCGGAAGGATTAGGAGAAGATAGGGTGCGATGCACGCCACACCCTACCAGTTATTGTAGACTGCAACATGACAGGAATACTGAGGCTACGATATAGCAGGGTCTTAGGGGACTTACGGCAAACGTATGCACGCCAAATTGCACCAAATATTAAGTCAACGCCCACATCTGCATCTGTGGTGAGCGACTCGGGTGGGATGGAACTCCTGATAACTTAGGGTTTTAGGGGCGGCTGGGGAGAACCAGCCTTCCTCAAGGCGGAGAGGACGTGCTGCGATCGTAATAGACGTACATAGAGCACCGTTCGGCTTGTTGAAACCTACGTAAGGAAATGTACGGCAATGAGTTGTGTCTTCATGGGCCGTTGGCTGCACGTCCTCTGGCTTCTCTGGCACCGCAGCTTTCACCCGGGTCCCCCCCCCGCCGCCAGTTTGCGCATGTCCTTGTGCGTGGACGTAGTACAGGATTGAAGTTATACTCCTAAACCATGAAAAGTCATGTGCATTATGTTAGCGGGCTTTCGGAGTGCGTGGACTAAGCCGGTACATATTAAGACGCATAAAAAACCCCTCAAAAGCTCATCAGCACGGATGGCAACGGAGTCGATGTTTTCTTCGAGCTTATTAATTCCCGCCAATTCCTCTCCCGCGCACGATCTGGCAGTGTAGCAAAGGTGCATGTCAAATTATCACTTTACACCGTATGCATGGAGAGATGGAAGGAGGTTTGGTGGTTGAGTTGCGGCGAAAGACAGCCACGTGAAAGGAAGCCACGGCAGCAGGTCGAGCAGAGGTTAGTGTCATAGAGACGGTGCCCGGTAGGCCCGTCCTTGTCAGGCCCTGCCCCCGTATCGCAGCGCAACACACCAAAGAGGACAGCCAGGCGGCGATGATCACACGGGCACAACCCACATGGCTCAACAAGGGTTGAACTCGCCTCGCAGGTTACCGGCAGAGGCATGGCTTGCCCCACCCAGTGCCCTAGTACTTATTCCGCCTACACCATGTATGCTGATCACTAGGTTGCTAGCTACGCACATTTGGACGGGGATATCCGTTCACCCGTCTGTGCGCCTGTCCAACACACAATCGTTCAATTGACCAAAAAAGTCGCTTTATTAAAAAATGCAACCTGGCATAGCACGGATTTGCAAGCGTAATGAAAAGTAAGATACACAGTCAATTAAACGCAAGGTCCCAAGCCGGGGCCGCCCCCACGTGCGAACAATGACCAGCTGGCCACACGCCACACGCCTTGCGACGCTCCCACACAGATATGGGGGGAAAGATGGGGTTTGGCGGGCTTGGTGCCAACCATACAAAATGGGCACACAACGAGCCCACTACCGACTAGGTCCTCCAAAAAGCGCATTCAACATCCCGGAGGTTATGTGGGTATGTATTATGTCGGTTAGGTAGGTGAGCAGATGAGATGGGAGACAGTCCACCGCACTGGGGCCATTCTCCCCGCCTGCCCATCGAGAGCACTGGGGGAAGAGGGGACAGGGGCTCCCAGCCTACTCCGCGAGTTCGCGGCAAACCTGTCAGCCCCGCGCCGCCTTCAGACAAACTGCATGGGAGGGTCCAGGAACGACTGGTACAATGGTACAATTCTAAAACATGCTGCATAAAACGTCACGCCAACAAAACTCCGCCACCAACACAGCGGGTAAATGAATAATAATACATAGTCTCACAAGTCAGTGGGCAAAAAGTTCGTACTTCTCGTCCAACGATTGGTTGGTATTCTATAGGGCACCTCACACGTCACAACTATCAACTCCGCCTTGTGTGCGTATGTGTGCAGGTTAGGGAAATGTCAGAGACCCCCAATAAGAAAAAAGAGGATGAAGGAGGGGCTCGCACGCTCGCTTGTGTGTTCTAAGTGACATTTCGAAGACCTATGCCTCGAAAGATATGGACCAGAAGGGCAATCAGCGTGTGTGCGTGCGTGGGTCTGTTTCCGTGCGTGTGTGCATGTGTTCAGCTAAAAGCCAGAACGCGTATTGATTCACCAGTCCCCCGGTTCATATATCCGCTAACGTAGCTCTATACTCCATCACGTCGTCGAGCTCAGCAGCAACAACGATCCGACGATCCGCAACCCAGTCCAAAACTTAACCGTACGCACCGCAGTGGCCCCCGAGGCAGGGAAAAAGCTAAATCACCAATTACGATTTAGTGTGACCAAAACATTATTGGGGCGTGATGAGGGTCTCCTGCAATAAATACATGTCCAATCTAAGTGTACATATGTATGTATATATGTTGAGAAAGAGAGGCCGCGTCCCATAAACCCTCTCTAACCCCATGACACCCCTCTCCCCACCCAAGAAGATCCAAAACCCGGGCGGTGTCCCCCGGGGGCGCTCAGTCGCCCGTTTAGGCAACTAGGGGAACCAGGGGACACCTCGGGCGCGCTCGTGGAGGAAAGAGAATTAATCCGTGAATATGAAAACCTCCCTGTTTTCCATTCCGCCAGTACAGCACAGGAGAAGTCCCACACTAAGGGCATGAGGGAAGAAAAGCCATCTATGGACGTATCCGTCCGTCCGTCCGTCCGCGGTCATCTTCACCATGTACAGCTTCTGCAGCTGCAACACACAACCCATGTTCAATATATTGAGGTTCTAGCAGGTAAAAAAACAGCAGTGGTGGTGGCGGTGTAGTAAGCAGCTAATCCACCTGCGCCGTACTGCAAGGGGCACAGCTCCTTGCCCGGGCTCGCCTATGCAGAAGATGCACAAACTTCGTCTGCTTCCAAACACGGTCTCAAGCTTTCTGGCAGCCATCATCATCATCATCATCATCACCATCATAATCGTCGTAGTCGTCTTATACACGGCCTCAGCCGCTGTAGCAATCGCAGCCGGCCGGCCCATCTTCCAGGGCGTGCAAAACCCCCTGTCACCCTTTCGCTTCAGTGGTTCTGAAGTCCATCATACAAGAATGTGAAGCACATTGCCTGTGCAACACCCCGGGGGAAGGCCCATGCAAAACTACTTCTTCCGCATCCCGCGGACCTCCGTATCCATTACTCTTAGCATACCCGGATAAATGCCCCATGCGCATGCACGCGCCAAGTATTCAGGACCCCGTGTTTTTCTGGCCTCCGGTCCTCCTTGCAGAGCATCCCTTGGCACGCCCCACACACGCACATACTGGCAAAGCTTTATCTTCCTCCTCTGCTGCGCTCTTCAACGTGCGACCTCAATCCTACACATGCCCAACAGTACTGCGACGACAAAAACGCACCGCCCTGATCTTCCAGAGGCTGACGTCCGTTCTCCCCACCTCCCGGACAGAAGCCCTCTTCCTCCCAACCTCTCTTTCCAACTCTTCTAGGGAGGACCCTCCCACACGCTGTGCCGTGTGCCGATGTAGTGGAAGAACTCACACCGCATGATGCTTCTCGAGTACGTGTGTGTATGAGACGGCACAACAGCTGGACTTTCCCACCCGGATGCGCTGCCCCGCCTCATCCGTGGTCTGTACCGCGTCCAGGTTCGTGGCAGGTACCGCGACCCACTTCAATTCCAAAAAGAGGGACATACACTGTGTTGCCGATCATAGTCCCAGTGCTGCAGTCGCAGCGCTACTCCACAGTCGAGCTGCGTTCAAATGGCTATTGTGTCTTGGTTCTTGTGCACGGGCGCTGCCGGATAGTCCGGTCTTGTAACTAGCTCGGCGTCGTTGAGTCCCGGTCAATCAGGACAATTTTTATAATATTCATAATAGCTATCTGCCGCGAAGACAGGAAACGGTGACGATGACGACCATAACGGCGAAAAGAAGAAAAAGAATGACGAAGGAAAAGGTTGTTGTGAAAGGGAAGACGACGTCGGGAAAAACAAGCAAGGTGCGCTAGGGATCTGTATCGGACGGCGGCTGAGTAGGACCTGCTCCACACGCATGCTGGTTCTCACACCCTTGGGGGGGCCCTCGGGCCCCCAAGGCCCCCGTCAAGGCGGGGTGATGAGGCCTCTCAGCCGACCCAGGATGCTCCTGCTGCCCTCACCGAGGATGCTGCGGCCGTTCTCACCAGGGTGACCCGCGCTGTGGCCACCCAAGCTCCGACCCGAGTCATGGGCAGCCAGAACCTGCGCCACCACGTACCAAGTCATGCGGAGTCAGGACGGGTGAGGCGCTGTGGTTACAGGAAAAAGCAGAATCAGGCAGGGCAAGGGAAAGCAAGGCACGGCGGCAGGGCTGCAAAACACACAGCACCTGACGAAGGATGAGGCGCTCTGGGGCCGGGATGGCGGCCTTGCTAAGGTCTCGGCCACAGAGACACAATGTGCGGATGCATTGTCGAACTCACGTCCCCGACACCTCGCTAAGCGGGGCCCCCTCCCTTCCCACCACCACGCAGGTTCTGTGTACCCACCGTTGACACCGGGTGCTTCCGGACATCCCCTGATGGGGTCTGTATGAGCTGGCAGTACGAACCCGACGCCAGCGGCGTCACCAGCGCAGCCGCCGCCGCAACAGCTGCCGATGTCGCCACCGACGAGGCGACCTTGGTCAGGTGCGGCGTCGTGTACGAACGCGCCCCGTGCACTTCCATCATTCGGCTCGACGAGGACGGTCCCAGCGATGGATTCTTAGGATGGCCGCCGTCGGAGCCGCTAGCCCACCTGTCGTCGCCGCCATGCAGTCCAGTCCGACGGGACCTGCTGCGCATCAGCGTCACGTCCCGCTGCAGCGACGCATGTGGCTCTACACCGCCGCTGCTGCTGCCGCCGCCGCCACTCGTACGGTACTGAAAGCTGCTACACGACGACGCGACCACAGGCACGGTACCAGTAGTTGTCGCCGCGCGATGATTACGGATCACGCGCGGGTTGCCCTGGCTGCGTTCATGTGCTGCGACTACTGCTGCGGTCGACCTGCTCGCGGACGGCGAGGTTGCCGCCTCACCGCCGTGCCGGCCCTCGTCAAAGCTGTTGGAGCGGCGCAGCGACCCTGAAACATTCGGGCCTGTTGGCGACATTACCTTGCGGCTGCTGTTCATTTCCAAGCTGTGGCGCGCTGGCATACTGGCGGCTTGGACGTGCAGCAGCTTAGAGCTCATCGTGGCGCTGACGCCGCCGCCACCACCGAGCGTCACCGCCCTGGCCCTGCCGGAGCGTGAGCCTGCGTCAGCGAAGGGGCTGATGGGACTGCCCGGTTGGGCACCCTGCGGGCTGCGCGTCACACAGACCAGTTGCGAGTTTGGATCGCTGATGCTGCTGCCACCGCCTGGCGATAAGATGTGCATGCGAGCTGGGGTGCGGGGGGCGGATGCTGTCCACTCCGGGCCGCCGCCGTGCTGCTGCACGTCCGAGTCCTCTGCGGAAGCGCAGCTGCCAGTGGCGGTGCCCCGCCTCCGGCGCGATGAGGGCGCAGCAATGCGGATGCTGCCGTTCCGGACCACGGGAGAGGCTGTGTGGTTGGGGCAGGGGCACAGGTGGTAGGGCGGCGGGGAGTGGGGGGCCTGGTGGGCAGTGCCCAATGAAATTTATGGGAGAGTGGCAACGTTTTGGTGCGCTAGTAATGCCGTCACGACAGGGCCTGGCACAGGAGAATGCTGCGGCACGCCGATGTCTCGTGTGATGACCGTTGTAATGTGTGTGGATCATTGGGTGGTTTGGATTGACTACGTGTGATACCAGAGGAACACGACCGCGCTCACAAGGCTGGTTCGCAAATGAACTGCATGCTTGCGTGGGAAAGCAGCACCATCTTACCGGGTAAGGTTTCTGTTTGCTGGGGCTGACTTTCTGCCTTTTCTGTGTCGGTCGTGCTCTCTTCATCGTCATCGTCAAAGAAGTCATCGTCAAGCCCGTAGGAACTTGCATCGCCGCTTCGGTTCCATTTTGCGTGTCCATAGCTCCAACTTCAGCAAAAGAGTAAGCGAAACTTGTTCATTCATGCCATAATAAACCCTTTCACACATGCGAAGCGACAAATAACAAATGCATAGCTCAACCAGTGAGAGGGTTAAGGATTTACCTTCGGTTATCTTCTGCCATCAACCGTGCCTCGCTCCTCATCACATCTTTACGGATCTGTGCCGCCGAAACAAACGCCTTCCTGCAGAAATAACGCAAGAACCGACGATGAGCAATACAGTTATAGCTCAAAAGGAAAACTGCATTACTGCCGCTTGGTGCAAACACGTCCTAAATAACTGGCGTTTCCTGCTGCGACTCTGTAGGCCGATGACCGGCCACGTACTTGCTCCGAGTTGCATCCAACGCGCGTCCAAATATTTCCCGAATGTCATCCGTATTGTTTTGATAAAGGAGCTGAGAAATGTCCTGTGCAGTCAACCAGCAGGCGATGGTGAAGTGAAAGGTCTACTTCAGCTTTAAGTTATGCAAATGCAAAAGCGTTTCTGAGATATAAGCTATGAGTGTCCTAATTCCTTGGCTCCCTGGTGCACGCCAAGGTGTTCACCTGACCATTGCGAAACTGCTGCGAGCCATTTCCTGCCTGGCTCTCAGCATCTGCAGGATCTCGTTGTCGAATGAAGGCACGCCATGGCGAGTTCTCCCATACTGCTATGCTTCGCCCATCATCGCGCCTTAAAGACATTTTGCAACGCCTAGCGTCCTAGCGTCTATATGTCATGCAAGTAATCAGGTACACGCCATATACCAGTACCGTAGCATTCCTAACAAATGCAACTCCCAATCCTCAATACAATTCCACTAAGCAGAGCAGTGTTATAAGTACGATATGCAGTTTCAGGTGCAAAGGCCTTATGCTTAAATAGTCATGGCAACCATTTGCGAAAATGTGCTTGATAATTGGAGCCCTAAAGAATTGAAACAAAAAGTTGGAAAGCGTTTAAGAGCATGCAGACAAGTCCATAGCCATTTATTTAAATGGAATCCGATACCGCGAGGTTTGACGCCACCGAGGAGTGATCCAGCAGTTGATTTAAACGATGGTTGCTGACAAGGCCACAGCCAGCGCCTTGTCGGGTGACCCACGGCGGCCGGAAAGTGTCACACCTTACAAGCCACCACCGCCATCTGAGGACAAAGTCGATGCCTACGCAACCGTGGGGATGGTGCTGGCAATGCTGGGCATGCTTTTGAAGCGTAAGTGTCTGCTGGCATTGTCCACTCCGCGCACACTGGCCCGCTCGTCTGCAGCATACAGCAATTGGTGGGCTGTCATTTGCTTCCGGTCGTTGCGGAAGCGTCACTGCTTTGCTGATTGGGGCGAAATATTCTAGGCTTTTTTCCGTTAAACAGCTTGCCTGCCTGCCTTCTTGCCAGCCACGAGCACGGACAGGTATGCCTTGATACACATCCATCTTCCTCAATTGTCCGTCTACTACCGCTGGGATACATGGGAATGATGCCCTCAAAGTCCATTTAAATCTGCTGCCCATCTGCCGTTGAGCATGTTAACAGCTTAGTGCCCGTAATACCCGTGGCCGCTATCAGTTGAAAGAGGAGTGTAGGAGGGTACGCACACATTTGCGGGCACGGCAAACACATCCTCTCTCTCTCTAACTCGCACACACATACCGACATATATACATAAACACACACAGAATGCTCAGATGCACACTTCGTCTGCTATTTCAACCACACTTCCCGAGATGCCGTAGCAATCCACTTTTGTGTGCAACCCACATCAGGCCCCTCTGACCGTCGTTGCTGCTGCTGCTGCTACTGCCTCTACTGTTGCCTACCTCAACCCAAACCTGTACCGGCCCCCACGTACCCGTCCACGCAACCCACATTCGCATTCGCAACTTACTCACCATCAACAGAACTGCCAGCCCACTCAGCTCCACCCACACCACCCGCCGAACCCCTTTCCTTTCTCTCGCTCCCCCCAATCGGGGCTACCTGTCCGTCATCCCCACGTGGGGCTTACCTCTTCCCGCCCCCCTCTTTGTCCGCCTCCTCTGCCCGTACTGTACCGTACACGACAGTACGAATATTTTCGTTTATCTCCATCGCCTTCATTGCGTCCTCCTTTATACAGCGCAACGCGGAGACGGACGTCAAACAGCTCATTATGGTCGGGATGGTGGGTCTCGTGGCGGGAGGGAGGAGGGGGGTGGGGGGAGGGAGGAGGGGGGAGGGGGTTGGGAGGGAGAGGGTGAGGGCTTTCGGGGCAGACCACATGGAGGGAAATGAAGAACGGAGCGGCACAGCGGTGACACGCGGCCTAACCGAATGAACCCAGATACAAACAGCCATCGATACGAGGGGGCGAGAGAGAGAAATGGAGACGGAGAGAGAGGGAAGGGGTAGGAGCTGCTGCTTATGAAACGGGCCTGCGTGTGTTGGGGTGCGAACGGATGCGAACTAGGACATGGATCAAAAAACCAGACAAGGGCCGTGTTCAGGACATGTTGGGACTGGCTCCATGCTGGTGGGTAGGTCCCTCATGATGGTGATGATGATGGTGATGGTGATGATGGTGATGATGATGAGGCCAACGGCGCGGTGCGGAAAGCTGGGAGGAGGGCGCTCGACACGTCTTACCTTTCTTAGCTAGCCACTCCGCATTCCCCTGACCCGCTTCGCGCTCTTCCGTCTCTCTCTCGCGCGCGCGCGCCCTTGCAACCGCCCTTGTGTGGGACCGGGGCAGCTGCCATTCGGTGTATAACTCTCTCCTCCCTTCTGCGCTTCTCAACTCTCTCCGGGCCATCCCTGGCCCCGCCACCTCCCCCTGGTGCCCGTTCAGATGGCTGTGGCGGGCTTGTTCTTCTCGCACCTCCAAGTCCTCCCCTCGGCGCCGTCGGCCACAAACACCACCGGCCCTGCAGTCGCCTCGGGGGCTGGCAGCGAGGGGCCGTAAAGAAGCCAGCGGCGGCCATCATTTTTTGCCCTCCACCCAATTTTGTCCAACAAGGGCTTGTCGCATCAAGGAAGAGACGTCAAGGGGCTTGAGGGTCCCTTGACTTGCATATTTGCACGTGTGTGTTTGTGTGTGGGGGAGAGGGTGGGGGAGGGAGTGGGTGACTTGGGGAGCGGCAGGGCAATGGACGGGCCGGGCTGATGGTGGCCGCACGCCCTAGGTAGGGCAAGACAGGACAACTTTTGACAGAGTGAGGGAATGAAAGCTTGTGGTGGCTATATTCGGGGTGTGAGGAGAGAGGGAGGAGGTGATGGCGCTGGCGGGCAGGGATGCAGGCGGGCCGCGAGGAGGGCTTGGCGCCCTTTGTGACTCGGGTATGGGGTGAGATGGGTTGGAGTGGGTGGTATCGGAGCTGTCTCACGCGCAGCTGGACTGGTGGCGGGGGGCTTCATGGGGGCGCAGCACAGGGCATGATACTGCTGTTGCACCTGCTGATGTTAGTGCTGCTGCTACTGATGCTCTATGTGTGCAATTCCCAACGAGTTACTGCGGCAGGTGTCATATCGGGTATGCTAGCGGACTAGTCGTTAAATTGGGCCGGAAGGCCAAAAGGGCCAGTACTAGTAGAACTGTTCCGGCAGGAGGTCTGGACTCCAGTGTAGGTGTAGCTCTGCTATTTATACATAGTGGACAGTGACACAGATGGTAACTAACGCGCTTGCATGCCTGTGGCGGGGCCCTCGGGGAAATCGGACAGACTAGCTACTGAGACCGCCCGTGTGGGGGATACTACTGGTTAATGACGAGATGTTCATTGCGAAGCTGGAAGAAGTTGTTGCGATCGCGGGTTGCTGCTGCTGCTGCTGTCGATGCTACATACATGTAGGATACCGTGTTGTTGGGGGGCGACCCGTGGGTCAGCGAGTCGAGCGCAATTCAGCAAGCGATAACTTGTTCGGCGCGCAGGCGGATTGATGGAAGGGCCAGTAGCGTAGCGTCGCAATTTGGATTATACAAAATTTTGGAATCCAAGTTCTGTGATTCTTGCTTTGAACAGCCCCGATCTGCGTACGAGCAGACTTTGTGTTGTTGTCTGCGGTGTTTTTTGCGCAGTTGCAGCTGCACGTTCTGAATCGCCACAATGGAATTGCGGTCCCGGTGTGTACGTGAATATACGGTGAGTGTGCCTGACGTCAGCGACTATACTACAGGGACACGCGTCCAAGCTTTGGCAAAACGAGCAACAAGCATCCTTGAGGCGAGGTGCGCAACGTGGGTAACCCTTAGCATACAAAAACGAAGTGGCCTGGGCTTTCAATATTTCACTCACAAGCATTTTTTCCAGCTTCGCCGGGTAGTATAACTTTTAAAGCAGCAGGGGAACATTCAGCAGAGGCCAATGAGACGCGGTTATGCAGTGATGACTGTCAGGGACTTGAAAGCATAAGGCGATGAGGGAAGAGCCCAAAGCAGCGGCAAAGAGGTATTATACCCGTGGAGCTTGTCGGAGGTGTATCCACCAGCACCCACGAGCACCCATTCCAGGACTTAGGACTCTCACCCCAAAAGCAGCCTCAAGACCACAGCAGCCTCCGTTCGTCACAAGAACTTAGGATCGTCACGACTGCCCCATCCACTTCGCACCGCCGTCCACCCCTCGTCATGCCATCACTGCCGTCCGACATATCGCCCCATGCCGCCGCCCTGGGGCACCGGCAAGGGTGCCCTCCACAGCAACAGCAGCAGTCCCATCCTTCCGCCTCCCCGCCCAACCCCACCTCTAATCCCCCCAACGACTCCGCCGCTAGTGCCGCTTGTTGCCTTGCCATCGCCTCTCCTTTTCAGCATGTTACCGGCCGCCAAGAGAACCCAAACGAACCGGTAGCGGACACTCCCTTCATGTCGGCAATTGAGGGCAAGGCGGCGGCGGCGGCGACGGCCGCCAACAACCGAACCTCAGTGGAGCTGGCAGCGGCGCTACGGGCACCTGAGCCTGCTGATGCTGATGCTGTTGGTGTGGACGCGGCCATAATCACCATCATCTGTACTGCAGGGCCAGGAAATCTTCAGTCGACATCTGGACTGGCGGGTGCGGCTGCGGCGGCATGTAAACCGGCGGCGCTATCCCACCTGCTGCCAACATGTACTCCACACACAAACCTGCAACAAGACCTGGATGCTGATCATAATCCCGTTCCTGCCGACAGCCTAAAGCTTCCGAGTAGCAGCCGCAACGGCGGCGGCGGCGGCCAGGGCAGTTGCGGCGGCGACCATTCCACCCCTCCGTCAGTTTCCCTCGCCGTCCTTCCTCCCGCTTCTCCGGCTCCCGCCAGCTACTGCTTCCCCTCGCCGTCCCACGACCGCGACCAAGAGAGTCTCAAGCCCATGTTTCACGTGATGCCCGTCAGCGGTTGGGGCTCCGACCCCAACGGACCCATCTTCTACAAGGGCCGATACCACCTGTGAGCGCAGTGAACGGGGGAGGTGGGAAGGGAGTGCATGAGAGGGCCAGCAGAGAGCGGCGCGGGAGGGACAGGCACATACAGAAGACATTGCCCTGACCACCAGAGCCATCGGTAGGAAGTCCCGGAGAGACAGTGGATACTATAGCTACAGAAGCAAGGGCGGTGACAGTGATGACAGTCATAATGGTAATCTTGTTGTTGTGAGGCGCTCCATCCATAGTATCACCAACGAAACCACTACCCTCCCCAGCGCATGGACATCCTGTCTGGCCCGCCTCGCGCCCTTGTTGTCGTACAGGTTTTACCAGGCGCGCCCGGGTACGTGCCAGTGGCACTGGGGCGTGGGTTGGGATCACGTGGTGTCGTACGATCTGGCGCATTGGGATCGACTGCCGCCCGCCATTTTTCCAACTCCAGGAGGGCCCGACGCGGACGGCTGCTTCTCAGGATCAATTGCGGTACGGCACCGTCGTGCAACTTCTCCACGTGTGTTCACCACGCGCGTCAACACACGCACTCTGTTAAAAGCTATATTCTAGTTTTGCCGCCCGTGCTAACCTAGGGTTTTAAAAACTATGTTTTAAAAGCTATCTATGTCTATTAAAAACTATCTTTGTATGATGTTGTTACAGGGTGGAATAGCTTCACCAGCGGCCCCCTTTCCCGAGGCAGTTCCCTGCTCTCCCCTGCGAGAGGGGCACCCTAATCCATTTCATCCCATCCGACTTCAGAATGCATTCGTTGGGTTCAGCATCTCACCACCAGCATCCACCAGCATGCGAACACATAACACCGTCCCATTTTGCCTACCTTAAGGTCATGAGGTGCGTACCTGCTCCCCCGCACGTGCCCGTACCGTACGACATTAGCAAGGTTTTCACGTGTCCGTATTCCAGCACACGCAATGATCCAATTATCCGGCATATTCGCTATATATATGTCGGTCCACGCGCAATGCCGGTGACCTTCTGTTCTCATGTATTGCGGCTGCTACTGCGTCTGCTGCTGTGCCGTCCTGCGGCTGCGTGTGTACGGCAGGTTGAACCGCGCACGGGTGTGCCGGTGTGTTTTTACACGGGCGCCCGGCTACGCACCAACCGAGAGGTGCCCCTGCCGCACCCCCCGCCCAGTCACGATATGGGTCTGCCGCACTTCGAGGCGCAGTGCTGCGCCGTATGTGATCCAGGTATGTGCGGCTACGGCGTCGGTGTGGGTACTGGGGAGGGGGGAAGCAGGGCGGTGCCCGTCAAATGTGTATATGCATGCACACAAGTATTTTTGGTAACACACACCGGCTGCAGCGTCTCCGTGTCGCGCCCGCCTGGTTTGATTTAATATGGACGTTGCTAGGTTGATCCGGCGATATTCGTGCTTCCAAACATTTATCCCGCCTTCACCCCGCATAACTCATTTCTTCGCCATTGCCCCCTCCGCCATCTGCAAACGTCCACGTAGACGACGAGTTGCTGGTCAAGTGGCGCAAGGTACCGATGCCGCTGATGGAGCTGCCCCACACGGGCCAGCTCACCGCCTGGCGCGACCCGTGGTTCGTGGAGCAGGGCGACGGGCGCGGACGCGAGTGGACGATGCTTATCGGCAGCGGGCTCAAGGATGGCGGCGGTACGGCACTGGTGTACCGTACACAGGACATCACACGGGGTGAGACGGCCTCCGGGTCGGGGGCCCCCCCGGGTTTGCGATTGTTGCTTGGCTCGTACGTTTTGCTCATTGTACCGCAGTTGACTCCTTTAAGCGGTTGGGATAGCTATTGGGAGCTGCAGCTGTAGGTTTTGACTGCGGTTTCGGTTGCGCAGAGGAGGCTGTTAGGACTGTGGTGGTTGTTGAGGTTGCCGACGCAGTTGCGAATACCGTTGCATCTGCGGTTGCTGTCATATGTTATGTCTTGTGTGCTTAGTTAGGGGTTTGGTGCTGCTGGTGGGTACCGGAGGTGGCTACGGCAAGCGCACACAGCCAATCCAGGCGATTGGTCACCCGTCCCTCTCCTCCAAGCCTCCGTCTGACTTCTGCAAGTCATGTGCGAAACTGGTGTGGCTCTCCCTCGATTCTCTCTGCTGTGCGCATTTCCATGTCGTGTTTTCCGGTCTTCCTCACTCACCACAGGCTGGCGGTTTGTGGGCGACTTGTGCAGCTGGCCCAACCCCAAGATGGGAGTGGTGTGGGAGTGTCCCTTCCTCGTGCAGCTGCAGCCTCTGCCGCTGTGCGCCCACGTGCTCCCCACTACGGACCTGGCGGGTCTCATGGAGGCGGAGGGGGAGGAGGGGGAAGGGGAGGAGGAAGCGGGGGAGGGGGAGGGGGAGGAGAGGGAAGGGGAGGAGGAAGCGGGGGAGGGGGAGGGGGAGGAGAGGGAACATATGGTCGAGATGGAACCGATGGCGACGGCGGTCGCGGCGGCGGGGAAGGCGGAGGTGGAGGAGGATGGGCTGGCGGAGGTGGTGGAGGATATCATTGAGGCGAAGGCGTTCGGTCCCAAGGCGGCAGCGGCAGCCAAGGCGGAGGAAGCGGCAATGGCGCCAACGCCGCCAACTCTGCGTACTAACGACGCGCTGAAGAACAGCGGGGAGGTCGAGGAGGTGGCGGAGGATGGTTTCCAGGCAGCGGTGAGGGCGGAGGTGGGATCGGTCATGCAGACGATGGCGGTGATTGTTTATGAGGAGGCCGAGGTGGCACTGGCGCAGACGGGGACAGGGGCGGAGGCGGTGGAGGAGGGAGAGGTGGGCGATGTTGTCGGTTTTCACCGCGGTATGCCCCCGGCCGCTCTCACAGGCAGCTGTCACCTCCCGGCTATGCTTCATACGACGCGGTCGGATTTGACCAAGGGAAAGGAGAAATTGGACGAGAAGCAGCTAATGCAACTAATGCAGCAGGATCAGCAGCAGCAGGATCAGCAGCAGCAGCAGCAGCAGCAGCAGCAGGGGGTGATGGAGGCGGCGGAGCCAAGCGGTGTGATCGCTGGACGAGAGAGCAGCAGCGGTGCGAGCGACACCTCCATGGTGCACGGCAGCAGGCTGGAGTGTACGGCAAGTGGTTCAAGCAGTCTGCGAAGCAGATCCAGAAGCGGCGACAGCGGCAACGGCGGCGCCGTTGGCGACTCGGAGACGGCGTCGGAGTGGCAGAGGCAGGCCGTGAGCAGCAGCATCGGCGGCGGCGGCGGAGACAAGGGGGGTTATGCAGCCGAGGTGCCGACGTCGTTGGTTGAGGCGGTACGGCAAACGCTGGCGGCGGAGCCCGTCGTGCAGCTGGCGGCAATGCCACAGCCCGTCAGGTCTGTGGACATTGCGGCTGCGGAGCCTGTGATGATCAAGATGTCCGTGTCCCGAACTGGGTGTGCCGATGTAGCAGCGGTAGCCGAACTGGTGGATGCGTTACTGCAGGCAGTGACGCAAGAACAGCAAAGTACGGCATGTACAGCAACCAAAGCGGCAGCCGTCGAGTCGTCTTCCGCCATCGCCGCCGCGCACGCTGCTGCCACCGAGTTCGATTTCGTCACCGCCGTCGCACCAGCAGCCGCGGTTCGTCATGGCGCTGACGTCATCGACTTCAGCGTGATTGCGGCCGCGCCCTGGACAGCCCCCGCTGACCTTGGCTCGGATGCGTCGACAGCCATCGCCAGTATTACTGTACGGCGGGCTGTTTCCTTGTTGCCCTCGCCGGTGCTTGAGAACGGGGCCAGCAGCCATGCTGCAGACGCCGGCGACGCAAGCGGAGGCGGCCATGTGGACCCGCGCGCCCCTTCCGTACCTGCCGCAGCCGCCGCCGCTACTGCCGACGAAGAGATTGCTGCAGCCGCCCCAGGCCAGGCTCCGATTGTACGAAGCTGCTGCCTGACCAGCTCCACGCTCACCGCGTCCGCCACCGTCCCCGCCGCCGCCGCCGCTGACCGTGCCGTACTTCAAGACCTGCACTTCATGGTCACGCAGGTCATGGAGGCGCGTCGGGCCCGGGCCGGGGCGGCAGCAGCAGCGGCGGCGGAGGAGGAGGATGCGGCGCTCAGGGGCGACAGCGGCGGTACCATGGGCTCCGTGACTGCGAGCGGCGGCAAATTGAGCTACAGTCCTGGCGTGATGGGCCACTCGGCGGTTCCGGAGCCTGATACGGAAGTGGAGCCGCTGCCAGCACCCGTTACCATGCGCTACCATAAGGCCCAGCCGCTGCGGCCTCTGACGGCAACGGTGGCGGCGCTTTCTGCCGGATGTGGCACCTCCGTCGCTACCGATTTGCGCTGCTCGGCCGCTGCACCTGATGCGCTGGATAGTCCACAGATGCTCGCTGCCACCCCTGCGAACTCCGCAACCGAGTTAGACAGCCCCGCTTCCGCCCCGGCGTTTTCCTATGCCGCCGCCGTCGCCGCCGCCGCTGCCGCTACCGCGACTGCCGCCACTGCCAGCATCGTTGAGACCAAACCAACCGTTGAACTTAAGCCAAAGGCCGTGAGACCAAACGCCGATGCCGCCTCCTCGGATTTCCGCATCGGCGACGGCGCCATGCATGTGCAGCTGCCCCTACTTAATGCCGGCGGCAGCGGTGGCGTCGCCAGCGGCGGCACCAGCCCTGTGCCCACCCTGGCACGTGCCGCCGACGTCGCCTCCACTACGCGCCACGCCTTCGCAAGCTCCGTACCGCAACACCGGCGCTGGCTATTCGGCAATGCACCCGATGCATGCCACATCTCCGGCGACCTGGTAGGCACGCGACCGATTTACTGGATCGGCGAGTACGACAGTACGGCAGCGAAATACGACATCGCCAATGCTGTGGGCGCGGCACCGCTGGACATTGGGAACTGCCTGTACGCGCCGGCCTGCTTCCAAGACGCTCAGGTACGGAAGCTGTACGGCACGGCACCTGGACACCATTAGTCATCACGGGTCTAGCGGTATGTGCGATAAATCCGATTTGCGCGCACACGCGCGCGAAGTGCTTGGCGCGCATTTGCAGTTGACACATGTGCCGTACTGTGTACCAGCTACTACAGATACGAAATTGAGTGAAATGCACAAAAAATGAATATGATCTGTGATGTGTGTAGACAGCACATGAATGGCAGTAGTCCAGGGAGGGTAAGGGAAGGCGGGGGAGTAGGTGGGAAACAGAAGGCTGTAAAAGGCTGCTGCTGCTGCTGTGGGAAAGGGATGCGATCAATACTCCCCCAGGGTCATTCAGGTCGTAATCATGAAGGTAAGTGTAACGAAGGTGATAAGGTAAAAATTACAATCTGCGGTGTTAAAAACCATAGGGCCGGCAAGAGTCCGAATGGAGCCGACTATTAGATCCCCCCTCCCCCCGGAGGGGAGGAGAGGGTGGATGTAGTAGCTGGTACACAGTACGGCACATTGAACAACTACAAATACGCGCAAAGCGCTTCAACAGCATCTCGCGAGCTCTCCTTTTCAGCGGTGGCCAGCTGCTACAGTGGACGAGAGGGTGGAGGAGCTTGGGTTTGGTCAGCATGGAATCCCCCCCTCTCCGCTCTCGTGCAACCCCCCCTCCCCCAGGCGTATAATTTCCTATCAGGTTCCACCACCTGCATCTGCACCACTACCACCTCGACCTCCTGTTGCCTACTTGCCGAAGTCGGCACTCTGCTACCGTCGTTACCCCCTGCCCAACATGAGCAGGGCCGTCACATCCTGTGGGGCTACATGAAGGAGCTGCGCCGAGTGCCTCCTGCCCCCGCCCTGTGTGACAAGTACAGCTACGCTGGTTGTGTGTCCCTCCCGCGGGCCTTATACCTGCGAGGGGATAAGCTGTTCCAGGTGGGTGGGCTGCAGCGGCATGTGGAGTGGTGCCGCACCCAGCCCGCCTCGGCCTACCCCTGCTCTCTCTCCCTCGCTCCCTGCCTTCTCTCCCTAGGGATTAGGACCCCCCCCCCCTTACACCGCACCCCGCTCACCCCGCACCCCCTGCCGCGCTGTCCCCCGCGCCCGACAGCTCCCCCTTCCCGAGCTGACTGCGCTCCGCAGTGACGTGGCAGTTCACTTCAGCCGGGTGTCGCTGACCCACGGGTCACCCTGGCGGCTGATGGGGCTGCGGGGGCTGCACCTGGACCTAGAGATGGCGATCAGGTGGGGGAGCGGGAGGGGTGCGAGTGCCAGGAGGAGCGGGGGGGGGGGACAAGAGGTGACGTAAGGCCTTGGGCCGGCGGGTGGTGGGTGGAGGGCGGGCGGGGGAAGGGACCGGAGCGCCTGTGTACTCTTATAGCCCGGTGTTAGCTCCGGAACCAAGGGGCAGAATTGCCAACTACATACCCCTCCTCGCTTGTCAGCACCGTCCCCGCTAACTTCCCCAATCTCCATCTCTTCCCTGCCTCCCAATCCAGTCCCGGTACTGCGCACCGTACGGTAGTGCTGCTTCGCAGCTGGCGTCCCAGGGGTCGTGGCGCTGCCGCCCTAGTGTACGACTGGACGAGCCGCCGACTGTACGTCGTGTTCGAGGCGATGCACCCCAGCCGCCAGGCGCTGTGGCGCGGGGAACACCCCCCCGCAGGCGCCTCCACGGCCTCCGCCATGACGCCACCCCCCTCCTCCTCCGCTTCTGTAGCGACCACGCAGCCGCAGCAGCAGGGCCCCCACCTCCACCAACATCATCACCACTCCTTTCCACCGGACTTGCCGTCAGAGCTTATAAGGGCTGATCCGGATCTGGAGCTTTCCTCTGACACCAGCCTGGAGGGCCCGCTATCGGACGAGGAGGAGATGGTGGAGGAGGACACGGCGGGTGGTGAGGGGGAGGTGGCGACAGGAGACTTGGACCACGCTGCTGCAGCCGCATCACGCCAACCCCCGGACGCGCACCGACCACGAGCTGCCCGCACAACACCGTTCAATCGGGACTTGGAGGAATGGCTGTGGATGTGGCGGGGTAGAGCGGGTGAGGGGAGGGCAGGGATTAGGGTTGGGGGGCCGGGGTATGCCGTACGCGTGCTTCAGGGGCGGAGCGTGCGGGGTATGTCAAGGCTGCTGGCAGCTTCACGGCCAATGGTGACCAAGTGCATGTAGCGGGCCTACCTGCCATCTGGTGGGTTGCGGTTCTACTGGCTACTCATGACTTTGGCCTGATTGGGGACCTCCAGTAAGAAACAATAAAAAAAGACTCGCCTCCTTGCGCTTTCCGAGGGGAGGAAGGAGGTGATCCTTCTCCCCTGACGAGGCCCCCCCGCACCGCTTTCCCCTTCCCGTCCCGTCCCGGTTTCTGTCCAGGCGGCGACTTGGACCTTCCCCCCGGCTCCCCCTTGCGGCTGCGTGTGTTTCTGGACGCGTCGTGTCTGGAGGTGTTCACCGGCAGCGGGCAGGTGCTCACAACCCGGGTGTATCGGGGACATGCGCCACACGTGAAGCCCCAGCAGCCCCAGCCCCATCAGCAGCACGCTGACCCCGGTATCGAGGTGTGGAGTGTGGGGGGCAGCTGCAGCCTGGACGACCTGCACGCCTACGAGATGGACACAGCCTGGCTCAGGGAGGGGGATGCGCCGCTGGATGGCTTCGTTCGCAAATAGCATTTGGCGACGGTTGAGGCCAGCAGCGAAGAACCTGTGTAGCCGCAGCGGTTCATCAATTCCTGCATTCCGCGCCTCGACGGAATCCGGCGTACTGAATCCAGTAATACGTTTTGAGCTTCAATGGCGTGTTGTGTCGTGGCTGGTAGCTACCATAGGGTTGGGGATGCAGCGACGCTAGGCATATGAACGCATGATGCATTTGGCAGAACAAAGGAGAACATCTGCTGACCATTGACCGCTTAAGATGCATTGACCGCTGCATCGGCCATCTCTCCTCAGCATTTTAGATCCGGAGCCGGAGCGCAACAAGCCTGGAGCAGGAAGACTCTTCGGAGACAGCATGACCATCACGCCCATATAGCCCCGCGATGCTCCAGCCCAGCAGACAACAGGGGCGGCACGGCAACGAGGGGTTAACACACGCACACGTTAACGCGGGGGTGTACGCGTCTTGTGCACTGTCCCGTATCTGTTTCCCTTTGTGTTGTGCAGTGGGACAAACCCAAGCTACGTCCACAGCGGCATTAAGTTCATGACAGGCACAGGTGCTGCCTGCGGCAGCGCTGTGAAATACAGCGCTATGATGGACGTGTCCGTGGAGATGGTCAGGGGCATGAGTCCAAGTTGGTGTTGTGAAAGTGCCCAGCGACAAATGTGGGTTTGGTCTTATGGTTGCTGGCACGGTGGTACGGCCGTGGTACGTCGCCACAGTTTTGCCTATTGAAGTAAAAGCGGATTAGTATGGCATTAAGACAACCTATCGGGTGTAGACAGAACAGCGCGTCATAACGTGGCTGAACGCGGAGGCGCCTGTGGGGGCTGGCAGCCCAGGACGGACGGATGGGTCCCCTCTGAGAGAGCAGTGGGAGACAATACACTGAGTGGCATGACGAAAGGAAAAATCAATGGTAAAAATCTTTTAGTCGCCTCCAAAAAAACTAAGTTGCCTCAAGCAGTACGAACTACGCCGGTATGAAGAAGGGAGCTGAACACCCAGGGCAAAGACCGAACGCACGGAGGGCAGCAAGCAGCAGCACGATCTCTTCAGTGCCGAAGGGTGTTACCCCTAGGATACGGCCAGTGGTTCATGTATGGATCGTCGTTCCTTGTTGTACACGGCCCCGTTATGATGCTTTGGCTGACAGCAAGTGAAAGGTTGGCAGCACACATGTTGAGTCGCATCGCTGTAATAAACCTCCGTGCCGGATATTGAGGCATCCTTGGCCGATAACGCACCCCAACAGCTCCCCAACTTGGACAAAGGATGGAGTCCTGTTTCCGTGAGGCTATACATCATCATGAGGCGTGACGCACGCAGACACACATTCACACGTTATCGTGCTTGTGTATCGGGGCCTCCGTCGATCAGCGGACTACACACCCCTCACAGCTACACAAAGCGCCCGAAGGCCTTTACAACAGGTCGGTCCCCACAGGCGCTCAGTTTCCCAAAGTGGTGTTTGCCGTATTTGCCCACAGGGGTTACACGGTGCAACACTGTGCACGCATCGCTTGCACCCGGGGCAGGCGGGGCCCCTAACAGACCCGCCCCGCCCCCGCCTCCGGCCCCCCGAGCAGCCCAGAGCCAAGTGCTCTGGCCAGTGCGGCAGCGGGCACCACCACATAATGTACAGCCGCGTCACGCGGCACTGGAATTCTTCAACCACCGCCAGCGCTACCACCGTGTTTTGCTACCGTCACTTCCAGACGCGGCGATGTCCTGCCCTTTCGCAATTCAGTTCTGCGACGATGGTGCTCCAGATCTCAGTAATCGGATATAATCTGGATATTAGCTTATCTATGACATTGCCACCAGCCGGAGCTGGACGTACATATACAGAGTTTGGTGGTCTGGGTAAGCTGTCTGCGGGCTCGCAGCGGCAGACTCTAATCCAGTTTCAAAGGACAGATGCAAAGTTTTCAAATTATAAAGCTCACGCACCTCGCTGTACACACGTGAACCCGTGTGAGATCCTTAGCAATAGCTCTTTTGTGTGTGCAATCCCCAGGCTGGAGTTCAGAGTTACAAAACGCTTTTTGCCAGGTCCGCCCCCATACATGCACACGAGCAGGATCCTCGCCTTTTGTTGCTTTCTACGTTCGCTTGTGCGCATGCTCGCGTGTGGGTGCTTCAAATCTCCGTAGGCAAACAGGGCGATCGCTGTCTCCGCTTTTCGTCAGACCACAGGTCTCGCCTGCACTCGTCCCAAAGCGAAAGTCCCGCAACGCCGTCTTAACTGTAAGTAACTCTCTTCCGACGGCTCCAGTACGTACGGCACTGGCCACTGCCAGAATGCAATGTTTCCGTCACCATGCAACCCCCCGCGCCAATCTGATTTCGAGTCCCTCCTTCCTCATCCATCCGTTAGCACCTGTTGCTGCAGCAGTGGCCGCAGCACGCTGATCTCCCCGCTGAACGCGCGGTGCAGGCGCTGCTGCAAATCCAGCTCCATCTTGAGCTGCTGCAGCGTCGCAACGGCCGCAACCACCTGGGGATCCTGCGACCACCGCCACATCGGTTCCAACATGCACCGAGATCCGAGATCCCGTCAACGAGGAAATACTACTTGATCATCCGCAGGGTAGCTCACGGAGAATTTGAAGGGGAGCAGCTCACGGTGAACGGGATGATGAGTGGTGAAACACAGGAGGAGGTAAGAGATGATGAGGAATTTGACCGCAGACCTACCTCGCGCTAGGGCCCTACGGAGCATCATACGTGCACCGTCTTAGCAACTCACCCGCCCGCGATGGCCCCAGGTCCCTGCCGTTTGCCCTCCCTTCGCCCCTCTTCATCTTCAATTTCCATTATCCCTTTTCACCCCACCACCAGTCCTCCACAACAAACGGCACTCGTCCCGCGCCAGTTAGTACCCACACAGGTCCCACCGGGCTCTTAACCGCCCCATCCGACACGAGCCTCACCTTGTTCGTCAACCCCTGCTGCGACTTAAGTCCGCGCACCTCGTCCGCCTGAGCGCGCACCCGCTCTGGCAGCTGCGTTAGAGCCGCCGCCGCACCCGCAGGTTGTGACCCAGGGGTCACTTCGGGCACCAGCGGCCTGCCCTCCAGCACCACTCCTCCAGTGACGTCATTCACTTCCCACCGCTCGAACAGCACTGCAACGGCGGCACAGGTGCCTGGGAAGGAGACGCCGCAGCGGCGGGGGGAAAGACGAACCATGTCAGGAAGGGGGGGGAGACGCGGCGGGATAGGGAATACGGGGTTGTGAGGGGTGTAGATGAAGTTAGATGGATCGTGTGTAGTTAGTTAGATGTGCACGCGAGCCTGTGTGCAACGGAACGAGATGATGCCGTTCGATCGGTGGTTGGCCCCCCCAGGGGTTGGGGCCAAAGAGTGCCATATCTTGATGTGACGTGACGTGGATGACGTCGTGTGGCGGTGTGTAATGTGGCTTGACAGGAGCTACGTAATTCTAGTCATCTAGTCATCCAGTTGCCCCTCCGTACCCCTCCCCATTCCTCAACCTGCCTCACCTCCCAGGCGCCCCCAGTTTATTGCCGTACTCATTCACAATCCCAAAGGAATTACACTGCCATACGTAAGGATGCGCTTACCGTTGGGTGACATGAGGGGCAGCAGCAGGGCCTCGGGGCAGTGGATGGTTCTCCTGCCGCCAAAACCGCGAACCCCCACATTCAGGTCACCAGGGCCCGCAGCCTCCACTGCAGGTGCTGCGGCCCTCAGAGTCAGGTCGGCGCAGAGTGAAGTGCCCTTCCGCGGCGGCCCCCGGGATTTGGACATCTGGGGGGGGAGGAGCGAGGAGGGTTGCTTAGTGCTGCGAAGGGGGGGGGTAGCTACCCCCGGAGGGCGAAGAAGGCGAGAGGAGGAGGGGGGGAAGGTTCAAGTTGAGGAACAAGGAGGGCAGCTATGAAATAACCACCACCACAACCACAACCACCACCACCACCAGAAAGCACCTTCTCAGCCCTTATGGTCCAAACGTAGCGGCAAGGCGCCACCGGAGCCCTCCACCGGTGTCCGCGCTCCTCTATCCTCTGTCGCACTCCCTTCCCCCCCCCACTTGATTTCCTTGTCCTGGCTCAAGGACTTACCGCCCGAATGACGTCAGCAGCACCAAGATCCGCCATCTCAAGCTCCCAAGCCCCGGGGCAGGAGGAGCTCGCGCCAGTCCCACACACAGCTCCGAGCGCCTCCGCTGCCGCACGGTTCAGGTACTGCACCGCCAGCGGCTCCATCAGCCCGCTAGTGCTACTGCCGCCGCCGTGTTCACCACTGCTGCTGCAACAGCTGCCACGACTATCGTCATCACCAGCGGGAGCAGAGCCGTGGCTCGTCGTTCCCCAAGACGTCGGCCGGCCTTGCGCCCCTTCCACGCCGTCAAGGGAGGCCGACGGCGCCGCTGCGGATGTCGACCCGGGTGTGTGTGGACCGGACGCCGAGATCGGCGCCGCCGCCGCCATTGGGGGCCGCCGACGTGGCTGCTCCTCCAGCGGGACCAGCAGTACGACACAGCACGGCAGCTCGTCCACTACGGCGGGTAGCGTTAGCAAGTCGGCGGCCTCCAGCAGCGGACTGGGGACTTGGACAACACCAATTTTTCCCCCCGTGGAGGTGGGGAAAAGAAAGAGGAGGAGGAGGAGGAGGGCAGCGACGGCACAACATCATTGGGGACGAGGTGCAGTGCGATACGATCAGTTCATTTTCACTTCTCAAATTCTAAAGGGGGGAATTCTCAAATTTACGTAGAATTCCAGCTGACTGAACTGTTGGGCAAATGGATTGGCAGGTCGGAAGTTTGGGGCCGCAAAAGGGAGCTGGGAGCTCATCATCGTTGTGGGGCCAGACAGCTAAAAGGCACCTTGCCGGCCGCAACAGTGTATCTCTCACAGCCGTGGCAGGCAACACGGGGCAACCTCAGGACCGAGTGCCAAAGGATCAATCAGGTGCAGTTGGTGGGTAGGTTTTCCGAGGAATAACTGACGGCCTGTCAGGTAGAAGAGTCGTTGCAGTAACGGTGGTACGACTGTACGGGGTGCGATGGTACGGTGAGTGTGGATGAAGGTACATGAAGGGGTTGGATGGTCGACGGAGCGGAAGAGCTTCGCGAGTGGATGTCGTACCTGCCGTACGCGCGCAGGGTGCACTCGTACAGAAGGATGAGCAGGCTCAGAGTTTGGTAGGCTGACGGGTCGCAGATCGCTGGGGCAGATCCGGAGGTGGGTGGCTGGTCGTGGCTTGATGTCGGAACCGATGTGGCCGTGGCGGCGAGTACGGCACCGCGGTGGAGCGGTTCCCTGACCGGCACGCACATTCCGCGAAGGCGGCGGCTGCTATTATGAGTCGCGGCAACGTTGTTGCTTCTAGAGCTGCAGCTATCGTTGCTGCTACTCGTGCACGTCTGTGGGGCGATGGCGGCACATGCAGCCGAGTTGCATCTTGGGCAGCCGTTGCAGCGGCTGGGCTGGATCCGTGCGCCGTGGCGCGACGCGAAGGCCGTGACGGCGGTAGCCGGGAGGACGCTGACGACGGCTGCTGGCCCGGCGCGGCTCGCCAGGACGTTTGTGGCAGCAGTCCCAAAACGTATCATCCCGAGCTGGTGTAAGTCTTTCGTGCAGCGCTGGATCTATGTGGATTATCAGTAAACGTCTTTGGCCGCACTGCGGTACGTGCATAGGTTCATAAATTGAATCAAATTGCTAAGTAACAAGCGAGCATTGTAATATGTAAATGTTGACTAAGGAGCATGGTTAACTGCGGTTGGCCTACCAATCGCGTTTAGAGCTAACCGGACCTGTCGTAAAAATATTTGTGCTTGCGGTCCTCTCGCGGTGCGCGTTGCTGAAATCATTGCAGGGGAACTGCTTTACAACTGCATTTCTATAGCTGACCATTACTGCCAAGCCAAGCTAACGGTCGAGCCGGCGAGGCTATTACAATCAATGGCGACTCCGTCCTGCCGATAAAGCACTGGAACTTTGAAGACGTAGTAGAAGCCATGGGACACGATATGAGAAACATCAGGGAGGCGAATCTAAGCTCGGTGACGAAGCGCCTGGTTCATGCCGAAACACCCTGTGCTGCCGAGCTTGGCGCGCTTATGGACTGCATGAAGGTGACAACCGGTATAATGCTCCATGCTGCCGGGTCGTTGGCTCCTAATCCATGCTTTGCCGGGGCCTTCTGTGCAGCGTGCTGGCCCCGACGGTGACTCGGAGTGCGCAAGGCAGCGCGCGGCCCTGTCTGCTTGCGCCGGGAAGCACGCACGCGCTCCCCGCACCGTTTCAGCGGAGAAGCGCCGAATCGTGACGCGGTTGCAGGTGAGCTTGGGTTGCCGCTCGCTTCTGCTTGGTAGCAGACATCTGCCGCGACACAACCTTCACCTTTGAACGCCCTGCGGGCTCTCTTTTCATCCCGCGACTGCGCCCTCCCCCACAAAGCTATCCCGAGGACATAGCCTTAAACGTTTTTCCCCTACTGCTCTAGAAGGCTCTGCTCCTGCACCCCGCTCCCTCCCCTACCTACTCGTCTTTGTGTTCTCGATATTCCTGTGATCACCCCAGACGCTGGTGACCTCGTGGAAGCGCTTCGGCTACTGACAGCCTGCGTCACCACCACCACCAGGGTGTCGGCGAGGCGGGCTGTCGGCTGGCAGTGCAGGAGCGCGCGGAGAGTCGCGGAGAGTCGCGGGTGACGTCGTCCGGCCGCAGTGCAGCATACCGTGCAAGAAGGTGAACCCCAGCGCAGCGTGATGCACGACGATGGCGTCGCAGGTTGCGGTGGTGTGGGGGGGGTAGTCCTGTGATGGGGATGGGCAACCCCAGGGCTTTTAGTCCCCGGGGGATATCCGCGTCGAGAAGGCGGAGGCGGCGGCGTGGTGTCCGCCGTGCTGGTGTTCATGTCGTCAACAAGTGCCCGGGCCCTCGAGACTCGGTCGCGGTGCGGTTTGATGAGGCGAGGGGCTGCCCATTCGGGCCCTCTTCGGGTCCCGAGACCCCTGCTACCATGCGCATACGCATACACTCGAGTAACGTGTCTATACTTGTTCAAATTTCTCACGCGGCGCAGCTGTTTTCGCTTCGGATGGCCAAGCACGGCAATTTGTTGCGACATGGGATGGGTAGAAATGCTTAGAGGGACGGCTCTGGGGGCCCACACAGCGCGCTTGGGTTTCGTGTCGTGCCGTGTCGTGTCATGTCATGTCGTGTCGTGCAGGGAAAAATGATCCACCGTTCGGATTTGCATTCTGCTTACTCCGCTGTTTAAGGGCGAGCACCGAGTACGGCGAGTCCCGTTAGGTCGTTAGGTGGTTAGGAATTAGACGGGGTGGTTAAGGCGCAAGGTAGGAGCTATTGGCGGGGTCTGGCGGCGGGTGAGCCCCCCACTGGTAGGTGGAAGTCCGACACACGTGGCGCGACAAGTGCATGCGCGGGTAGGGAGGGAGGTAGGGAGCTGCCCTCCCTGCTCTTGGGACCTAGGTAGGGAGGAAGGAGTGAAAATCCTGATGTGGGTCAGGTGTACCACTGAGGTGGTGCTTTGCTCTGGGGCCTGCTTTGGAGACGTTTCGGACGGTGGTTAGGTGGAACGCTGAAGTCTTAGGAGGTGCCAGAGCCCTTAGCCAGAGGCTGTTAGGATGGGTGACCAGGCAGGTCGTGGAGGTGGACGCAAAAAAAACCCGCAATTTTTATGACTAGCGCGTCGATTTTATGGGAGCTGAGCTCGCGTGTGGATGTGCTCGTGCTTCTCTTCGGCAACTGGCCTCTGCACCTTTAAACCTGAATTGGGATCCGTTTTCCTTATATAGAGGATACCCTGTTTGTTGAAAAGCATGCTGCACCGTCATTGTTGCAGTGAAAAGTGCTGCGAGGCCATCACATCAGCTCGCAGAGGTACTAGGGTTTGAAGTTAATGCCAACAAGTCGCCGGGAACTGGGACGAGTTATGAGCGCTGGACTATCTGCCTCGCAGTGAACGCACGTGAACGCTGCACGGCAAGGTGAGCACGGATACAGCCACTCTCGACTCGGGCGTTTGCCTCGAAAGACCTAACCGTTTTTGGTTGGACAGCCATCCACCTGGGTACATCAGCAGCGTTTTCAGCGGCAGTAACCCGCAGGTGACACTGCGGCACCTTTCCCCGCTTCCCCCGACCTCTACACTGGGGCCCACCTTACGCCACATCATGCACACTGGACAGACAGACAGACAAGATGCAGGACAGCACTTACATTACATCACCCATACCGGTGGTGCTGCCCATGCCGCTTTGCAAAGTCCGCACACACACAGACACACACAAACAGACACACACATCTACACGGGTAAGGACACTCTTCACCATCTCACGCCGAGCTCAAACCTCAAACGGTCGCACAGCCCCTCCCTGCCCTGCCGCCCTGGCTGCACCCAGCACACACACACATACGCACGCACACACACACACACCCTTGGCTGACTCCACTCCGCCTCCCCCTCAGCTTCTTCTACCTACTACCACTACTCCTGCGCCTGCCGTTCCTGCGCCTGCTGTTGCTGCTTGGGCACGGGCCCCAGCACCGCATCAAGCCACTTGTTGGCCAAGGTACCCTGGGGGTCCAGAACCGCCCTGTAGCGGCTCAGCGCGCCCAAGGCGCTCCCAAACCGGCTCGCCAGCCTGGGTCGCACCAGCCCCTCCAGCTCGCCCTCCGGCCGGGAGGAGGTCTCCAGCTTGGCCCAGTGCCACGTGGCGTCGAACCGGGGCATCAGCTTGCTCTCCACAAGCCGGGTATACCCCCGGAAACTGCGGCCAGGGCAAGTACGGCGCAAGATACGTCGGCTGGAAGGTACGTGGTCGGCATGGTGCGGAAATGCACTAGTACTACGTACATGAAATGCACGGCTTGGCAGGAAGCCTCTGTTAAGGCGGTGCGTGACGAGGGCGGCCGCGGGGCGTTCATGGATTTGGGTTGGTGGGTTGGCGTGTGGTTGCGAAGGAGGTGTGAGACCCTCACCCACACATACACCCACACTTCCCCCCTTTCCTCCCTCTAGCGGTGCCGCCACTCACGCTTGCGTGACCTTCTCCCTCGCCTCCGGCTCCTCGGGCAGGTACATGATGATCCCCACCCAGCAGTGCACCGACTCCGGAGGCCCAGCTGCCGGACTGAGGGGCGAGGAGCTGCCGCTGGTCCAGCGGACCTCGATGGGTGAGGGGGCGGGTAGACGGGCCCTACGGCGGGGGAGATGTTCGTTGTGGCGGTGTGTGGGGAGGTGGAGGGGGAGGTTAGCGGTAAGAGGGGAAGGGGGGTGGGGTGAATAGCGGCGGTGGAGGGGGAAGGGTGTGTGGCAAGGTGGATGGAGGGGGAGGGGAGGGGCACGGTGAATAGGGACGTATATGATGATGGTGGCGGGTGTTGGTACTGTGGCCTTGAGGCTTTGCGGGAAGGATGTTGATGAGGATGATGATGATGATGAGGCGGCGGCGCGGACAGGTGGCGTGAAGGCGGCGATATGGTGGCAGCGCCCAGCTGCTACAAAAGCTGATGGTCAACTTTTGCGGACAACAACAAACCCCCCACCCCACCCCACCCCGGTGCGGGAGGCTCTCCAAACCACCATCCCTA